CCTGGTGCTTTCAGTACTCACCCTGCGGCGTCACAGTTCAGATGCATTCCTGGTGCTTTCAGTACTCACCCTGCGGCGTCACAGTTCAGATGCATCGATTCTCCTTCAGGCGTCCTTATTCGCTGTCCAAGTCTCACATGCAGATCAGGCACTGGAAAATGCCATGGCTTAGGCCTGGCGCACCTTAGTCCTCAAAGTAGCATCCTTGCTTTTCCCGGCAACACACAGGCCACCAGTGTGACAACCGGACAGACCAGCGGTGGTTTGTAGGTATAGCCTGTGTTGCCTTAGGAAGTTAAAACCCTGACTGTCTTCTTATTTCATACTCTCTTATGTTCAGCTTTAAGACTAAATGAGCTCAATACTGTACTGATAAGCGTACAATTCAAATTTGTCAATAATGCTGTTCTTTAGCAACACTGAAGTAATCCCTGTAATCTGAAGTAACAAGTTCCCCTTTCTTTTTATTATTCTTGTAAGAATCTTATTACCGTCTTTACAGCGCCCTCACACCCACCTCCCTCTTCAATCTGAGTTTTGCAGTTTTTCCTCCCCTTTACTATATTGCCTCACTTAGCAGATATTACAAAAGGAATTCTAGGTCCCTACCCCATAAGCCTCTAGGAGACAGTTCTGCACAGCCCTAAGGATCTCTCTACCTCGGAATGCACTCAGTGGTAGTGCGTGTTGTTTACCCCGTCAGCAGTTGGCAGTAGCTGGTTCTGAGAGAGTTCATTGATTCAATGTTCTTTCTTCCTAGCCGGCAATGCCTGAAACCGCCGAGAATTCAGCAGTTTGCTGTGTGTCCTTGGGGCTGAAAGGTTACAGTCATAGCCATAAACTATTACAAATCCGCAGTGACCCTGTCCTTCCTCAAGGGGGAGGCTCAGGGCCCTGGAGGAGATACAGATGCCAAGAGATCATTAGGAAGGCTGCGGCTCCTGTGGCCACGTGGGCATGATTTTCCGGGAGGCAGCTGCATCCTCCCTGCGAGCGTTCCCTCATACAAAGCAGCGTGGGCCTCGGCCGCTGGCCGTCCTCCTGCAGAGCCCTGTCTGCCGCCGTTCCGTGATGTTCTCACAGGGACTTCTGCTGAGCGGGGTGGGTGTGGAGGATGGACGGCAGCTGCCGAGTGAGCAGAGAACAGAAATAGGACAAGCATGTATGTCTAAGGAAATCTGTAAGAGCATGATTAGCATCCGTTTCGAAGAAGTGTCACAGCTACCGAATGATGCTATGTAGTGGCATTCTGTCACATCACAATGCGCAAGTTTATTTTGAGCAAATCCATTGTTCTTACTGTGAAATTTGAGGGAGAGAGCAAGCCAGAAACCACAAAGTGGCATTACACCGTTTCTTGAAAAATAGCACTGGTTTTCTATATTGATGGGATTGCATTGTCTTTTTATCTTACTCGCACATTTGGGACCTGTAGTAGTAGTCGTCTCCTCTGCTCTGTTCACCTAATCAAATGAACCATTATCCCAGGATTGGTGCAGGAGCTGGACTTTCATCCAGACTGAGTTTTATCCTGCCCTTTTTTCTTTGAACCCAGAGGCTGCATACACTCATTCTCTTGAGTGTCGATTGATCAGCCAGCAGGTGTGGGGCGCAGTGAGAATCACAGCAATAAAGAACCCGCAGTCCCTTTTTCGAGTTTCTCAGTCTCAGAAAGATGAGGAGTGCTGATTGCAACACAAAGCCATATACATTGTGGTCCATCCTAAAGTTGCCAATGCAAATTAAGGAGAGTCGGTAGAGCCCTTTGTAGAGAAAGTGTGGTTGAAGAAGGCAGGCCCAGGGTAAAGTATTCATCGAGGCAGACAGTGCCTTCTGTGAGTTCAGGAACCATGCGGGTGGAAAGTGTAGGGTATGGTCCCAGCATTTAAGGAGCCCTGGTGGCTTGTAGGTTAGGCCCGTAGTTCAAACCCACCAATTGCTCTACGGGAGAAAGTTGAAGCGACCTGCTCCCATCAAGATTTGCAGTCTTGGAAATACTGGAGGGTCACCAAGAGTTGGAATCAACTCAATGGCAGTGGATTTATGAGGAATTCAGAGAAACCTGATGGCCCCAGGGCTAAAATGCTGCTAACCCGAAGGCTGGCAGTTCAAACCCACCCGTTGCTCTGTGGGGGGAAAATATACAGCAGTCTGCTTTTGTAATGATTTACAGCCTTGAAAAGCCTCTGGTGCCGTACTGCTCCATCCTAGAGTTTGAATCAGCTGGAAGGCGGCAGTGGTCAGTGTACAGTCTTAACTAATAGTCTCTAATGTACTTCTCTAGTTTTCTAACATCCATTGCAGTGGACACCCAGGAACTCATAGACATACTCCATGGTTAAAGCGTTTATTAAGGACGTTAACCAATTTGTAATGCAGGTGAGAATGCTCAGGGGAGTTGTTTACCAGGACATGTTACAGAATCTCAGTTCTGCTAATAAATGCCCAAAGGGACACACCACTCCGCTGGGGGCCTCAGCCCTAAGGTGGTCAGCAACCCGAATGAAGTGCCCAGGGACACTCCACTCCGTTGAGCATCAGCCCAAAGGCACTCACTCCACTGCACTTGCGTGGGTCAGTAAGCCCAACTCCCTGAATTAGCTGCCCAGAGACACCCCACTCCGCAAGCCAGCCTTCGACACAACAGCGCTCAACTTCCTGGAGATTTGGCAAGCCCATCGCCGATCGGTGCTCTGGCTCCTGGTTCTGCTGTTGCTCCTCTGATAGTATAGTTGTCATCTGCATCCAGGAGGTTCACTTCACAGGGATCTCAGGTCCAGAGGACACACTCCATTCCTTGCTCTTGCTAGTATTGAGAGCACAGTTTCCCTTCTCCTTCGCAGAGACCTCATTTTACACACAGCAGGAACCCTATCAGTATCAGCCCCCACCTTCTTACCTGACCCAGGCAGGAAAAGACTGTTTGCTGGGAGTTGGAGAATTTGGATACAAGAGCCACATTAAAGAATTCTCTGCCCCAGCAGGTGGTGAATAAAGGATTCCGAACAATTGAGAGAGACATAAGACAGGAAGTCATGGTTGTGTGTGGTGATGTTGGGGGTGGGGGGTGGGGGTGTTAGAGATACATTAAGCTGCGCAGACCAAAGTGTTTCCACTTGTTTTCCTCTTGAGTCATAGGAGTAGATTGTTTCTCATAGAAGTGCACATCTGAATCTTGCCCAATGTAGACGGAAACCATCACTCTTTAGAGCAGTGGTTCTCAACCTTCCTAATACCAAGACCCTTTAATACAGTTCCTCATGTTGTGGTGACCCCCCCAACCAGAAAAGGATTTTCATTGCTACTTTATAAATGTAATTTTGCTACTGTTATGAATCAGGCGACCCCTATGAAAGGGTCGTTCGACCCCCAAAGGGGTCTTGCCCCACAGGTTGAGAACCGCTGGTTTAGAGGAATTGCAAGTGGAGGGCAGAGAATAGCTGGCTGAACGTCTGAGGACGTCTGCACTGGGAAAGACAGCATCGGTCTCCTGCAGGGGTTAGAACTCTGGTTGGCAATTTTAGAAAATACTTCTCAGGTCACTTAGGAGTCATCAAGCTGGGAGGAAATGATTTGTTCAAATCAAACTTAGAATATGCTTTAAGAGTGAAGAGCTGTTAAATGGCTAGTCTCAGGATGTTTTAATGTGTGAATAAAGGTTAGACTTGTTCAACGAACTCTTCTCTTTGTTGTCCATCCTGGGACTTGCCTGACTTACAAGTACATAGCAAGCCTCTAATTTCCTTCCCCTTCCAGCCCTATCCCAGAACTGTAAATATTTAGAGAAGCAGGCAACCTCCTCATCTGCTCTTGCGGGGCAGCTGGTGGGTTCGAACCACCAACCTGTGGGTGGCAACCTAATGCTTATCCCACCAGGGTTTCTTCATTTGGGTAAGGAATATCAGGATGATTTGCAGATGAATAATTTTGTCATTCTTCCTTTTTCATAGGTGGAAGAACTAAGGAGTCAATAATGACCCTCAATCACAAACTGGTCCATCAGGGTTGTAGTGAAGTAGTATATTTATCTTTGTTGAATTTTGGTCTGGTTTTGCACACAACACAGCTAGCTACTCAAGCTCATTCTTAATTGTTAGAATTGTGTGGTTATGCTTTCTGCGTAGTTAGTGAATTATCTCTCCTACACAGTAAACACAGTAAACATGTGCCCCATAATTGCCATCGTCACTGTCATCTGTGGTGGCACCAGCAGTAGCATTCTTAGGCCAGGGCTTACACCATACAGAACTTACTACTCTCCACACCTTTCCCTTTACACATAGAAATTGTACGTGTGTGTGTGTGTGTCTGGGAGTCTGAAGTTTGTTTTCCCACAGAAAGATAACATCCCAGCACTCTTGGGAATGGCAACCGCTTACATGATCTTGAAACAGACGCCACGAGCCAGAAACCAGTTGAAGCGGATTGCAAAAATGAATTGGAACCCGATTGATGCTGAGGATTTTGAGAAGAGTTGGTTGCTGCTTGCTGATATTTACATTCAGTCAGCAAAGTATGACATGGCAGAAGAGCTGCTGAAACGGTGCCTGCGCCACAACAGGGTGGGTGACGGAGAGTACCAAGTAATGTTTATGGGTTCTTCTAATAGATTATAGATTAATAGATTATGAGCGAGTGCTGACCCATTTCTAAGGTTTCCTGTGTGTGATTTAAATGAACCCGTTTCTCTTACACAATCAGGAAAGAATAAGGGAGAAGCCATTTGCACTTGGAGGTAAAGGCAGGCCGGGAGGGGGTTTAAGTTTCAGCTGTGGTGATGCCCTACTTACTGAAAGTGTTCTTGGAATATTAAACACTTGCCTATGATTATCCATCTTATTCTAGAACTAATGAAAATTACTGAAGAGCATTAATTACAGATGCTTGTTCCTCTTATTAAGGGAAACTCTTGATGAACTTTCTGCAGCTGGATGGCATTTCTGCACTATTAGAATACACTATGCATAATATACTTTATGGAGAAAAGATCTTTCCAGCTTTTAATTTGTTCGGTAAAAAGTTCTGTTGTTCAGGTATAAAGCTAAGCTATAGTGTTTAATCACACTATATTTTGGTGTTTAACCATTAAAATAAACAACTATTAAAACAACATTTTAAGTTCCGAATTTATGTTGCAGTTTATTGAGAAAAAATTTATTTGGCAGGGAAACTTGAGCCTATTTATCTTTGCAGATTGATATAAGTTATCTTAAAATCTTAATCACACTATAGGTTTTAATATTGTGGCACAAATAAGATTGCAAAACTGATCATTTATTTTTCTAAAAGATGAGTCATGATCATCTTGTACTCTTAAGCTACTTTCTTAGAAACCTGAAAACCTAAACATCAAGTCATTTATTAATTTCTAGAATATCATAAATGATAAACTGGGTGAGATTTTTAAGTTGAATAGGCCTTAACAAACAGAGGATGCTCATTAATAGGCTTTGAAAAATCTAAGCTATCAAAGAATAGCCAGCCTACATATACCTGATCTAGGCTTATGTAAGATCACATAGGAAATTAAGAGTGTGATGTAGGCCCCATTTCCATTTGCTGTGAAGCTGACAGCAGTATGTTGCATGGTGGAATACGAGGGGGTACCCCCCCCCCAATGGAAAAAAGCTCCACTTGGCAGAGCTTTAGTAGTACACATTTTTCCCTCTAGGCAAGCATCAAGCAACTCACTCTGAGTTACTACACCCACTGACGTCGTCTGGGAAGGTTCTCTCTGGTCACTGAATTTTTTTGTAAAAGTGATTTCACTCGAACCTGGTTTTTTTGATGGCCTGTTTCAGAGAACAGCGTGTGGCTGTGAAACTCAAGTGTACGAGTGGTTTCCTTGTTTCGAAAAAGGTGAAATGTCAGTCGTTGACAAACCTTGCTCTGGACATCTGTCAACTTCCCAAATAGAGGAGAATGTCAACTCATAGTGCATTTGGAGTTTGTTCCACTAGGTCAAACTGTTAATCAAGCTTTCTATTTAGAGGTTCTGAAAAGATTGCAGAACAGTGTGGGACAAAAAAGGCCTGATTTGTGGCAGACAGAACTGATTTTGCCACCACAACAAGGCACCTGCCTATGCAGCCATCTCAATGTGACAGTTTGGGGCAGAAACCAGCATGCTTCTCTGGCCTACGCACCATACTCACCTGACCTCACTCCGTGCGACGTCCTTTTGTATCTGCAAATGAAGGGGATCAGGAAAGGACAGCAATTAGACAACATAGAAGAGGTGAAGAACAAAACAAGGGAGGTGCTATCAGCCATCCAAACAGATGAGTTTGAAAAATGTTTCCATCAATGGAATCGTAGAATTGACAAATGTATTAAGTGTAATGGAGAGTACTTTGAAGGTGATAAGGTTGTTTTGTAAAAAAAAATTAAATACATGTCTTTAAGAGGGGAAAAAATTCTGGGTTTTCTTGTACTCCCTTGTATGATTAAGAAACTTAAGTCTTGCAGATTAAACATATAGTTAAGATACTAGCAGTATAAGATCCAGAAACGTAGAAACCTTGAGATATTGAATTCAGAAATGAATCTCTAACTGAACCAAACCTGGAGCAGGAATTATATAAGATGCAGTTAGATCATCTTGTCTTACCAGATGGCAAAGAATTATGATTAACGTCCTTGCAAGAACTCAGAAGCCAATCCCGAGACACTCGCAATAGCCAACGTTGGAGCCATTCAACTTCCAGTAAGAAAACTAACTGCAACAGATTGAAGCACAAATATATCTCAGTCCAATAATTTCTCCAAAGTTTCAAAATAGAAAAAAGCTTCTATTTGATCCCCACAGTTCTGCTAATGAATTCACTATTCCTTCTAAAGCTGATCAATAAAGGGGGAAATTACATAGTTAGCCCGCCTTTCTACTGCATAGCCAAGGAGGATCTTCCAATTAGAAAGGCTTTCTAGATAATAAATGAACAGAGGATGATAGACTGTCCCCTCCTCCCACCCTGAGGGATTACAGCTGTGTGATAGCTTCCCAGGGAGCGCAAACCCCGGGCGTTGTGACCCTGGACTGGCATGCAATGGGGAAAGCACTTGCTTCAGCAGCAGAACTGAAGGGCACACTGAGAAGCTCAGGAGTCAGTTTAAATACTGTTTTAATGAAGTTTATTTTAAAAAAGAAAGAAATCCACGGTGACCAAAATTTCAAAATGTTAAAGACAGGATTTGACAGTCTATTATGAGGACCATACTGGATCCTGGAGCCAAAGAAAAAATGCATGCCTTTTAAAAAATTATAATAAATTTGGCTCGGGTGTAAATAAAATATTTAAACTTAAACATGGCGTAAATTTTAATATGCCTACTCTTCAATTTCTGGGTATTTTAATGTTAATTATTCTGGGGAAATGAGCCATTAAAAATTACATATATAACTTACTACTCCCAAGAAATCAATTTGACTCGTAGCGACCCTAGAGCACAGTAGCAGTGTCCCTGGGGCTCTGCAGCTGTTCCTCTTTGAGGGAACAGAAACCCTCAGTGCGGTGCACAGGTTCCCTTTTGCCTTAGGCTCAAATATGGCCACACCTACACTGTATCTTCACCCTTCTCCTCCAACATCAAATCAAAACCTCTACACTTCATTACAATTTCAAGGAAGTTCTGATGCCATTGGGCCATATTATATAACCCCACAAGGGTTGTGGTGTTATGTAAGTGGGAAACTAGACAAGCAGGGGAATGGGTAAACTGCTGTATAGCCATATAATGGGATAGTAAGGGGTGATACATACTACAATAGAGATGAACCCTGGAAACATTAAACCACATGAGGTAAGTCAGACACAAAAGGAAAAATATGTGATTCCACTTAATATGAAATGTCTAGAATAGACAAATCGTAGAGACAGTAGATTAGTGTTCACTAGAGGCTAGGATTTAGGATGGGGTGTGACTGCTTAATGAGTACAAGGTTTCTCGTTGGGGTGAGGAACCAGCTTTAGAAATAAGTAGTTAAAAAAAAGAAATAAGTAATTGTGATGATTGCACAACATTGTGAATGTAATGTCACGGAATTGAATATTTGAAAATTGTTAAAATGGTAAGCTTAATATTAAATATAGTTTACCATGTTTAAAAAGATTATACTTCAGAGTCATTCCAATCACTGCAGTGTGTGGCCCTCCAATAATGGATATAAAATGATCCCATGTGGATCCCTGTTCTGAGAAACTATTAACAAGAGTCTCTGCGAAAATTCAGAATTTTCTGAAGCAAACAAACCTATCCCCATCCAGATGATTCTGATTCATAGCAACCTTATAGGACAGAAGGGGATTGCTCTTTAGGGTTTCACACCTGTAAATCTCCATGATAGAAGCAGACTGTCAAATCTTTCTCCCACAAAGTGTGCTGGTGGGTTCAAATTGCTGACCTTTTAGTTAGTCACCAAATGCTTCACCACTATGCCACCGGTACTGGCTGGATATTTGGTGATATGAAAGAGCTGTTAGTGAGTGGGGAATTAATGGTTTTTTAAAAAAACTCCTGAATTTTGAAAATGTATGCCGAACTAACTGAGTAAATTGATAAAAAATAAGATTATTTTCTGATAATATCCAAAGATGGAATGAGATGGGATATGGATGAAACAGCTTGGTCCTGAATTTAATTGTTTAAAGCTAAGCTTTGGTTTCTTTGGCTATATTGTTTTCTCTCTATTTCTATGCACTTGAAGTTGTTCATATTAAGGAGTATGCACACAGGGAGCTCTAGAAAGATTATGAAAATTTTCCATTATCTTGTGATTCCATTTTTCATGAACCTTTGGAATCATACTTGTAGATGTATGCATGTCGAATACGCATAGACATGTACATGTTCTGACCGATTGCCCTAATCTTGATTCCTTAGGTTAAGGATGAGGCTTAGCATCCGAATCTTTAATTAGGTTTATTACATTCCATAGATGATTTGTTCGCTAGAGGAAGGTTGGAAATTGCTGTTTTATGGGCCGTTTAGATAGATCAAGATGGCTGAGCTCTATAGACACAGATGTCCTTTAAAATCTTAGTGCTTTTGTGCTTTATCTATTGATACATTTCCATTCTTCCTCAGTCTTGCTGCAAAGCTTATGAATATATGGGGTACATTATGGAGAAAGAACAAGCATATTCAGATGCTGCCCTGAACTATGAGATGGCATGGAAATTTGGCAATCAGACAAATCCAGCAGTAGGTGAGTAGAGCAAATGAGACTTCTGATGTTCACACGACACTTTTGTTTTATTTATACATATGTGTTTGCATGCATTTTGTTTTACCAGAAGTAAATATACAGTAATAGCCAACTTCCACTGTGAAACTTTCTGGAGAGAGTAAAATTTATCATTGATGCCCAGCTACTAATAGTCATTAAGTATAATTTCCTGAAGTTCAGCCCTTAGCGTCTGTCTGGTTCAAAGGTCGGCAAACGGTAGCTTTCAAGCCATATGCGGCTCTTTTGGTATGTACATGTGGTTCTAAAGTACAATTGAAAATGAGAATACAACTCATAATTTCACTTATAATATGACTTTACATTATCCTTATTTGTAAAAATATATTTGTGGCTTGGTTAATTTTTTTGTTTTGTTGTGAGAGCCAGGATTGTCTCTTCTGCCCTCAAAGTTTGCCAACCCCGGGTCTAGTCTGACCCGACCTCTTTCCTTTCACTCGATGCTGTTTCTCAACTGATCGTGTTGTGAGGGGAAAGTGTCCCACTGTCAGTTAGTTATGAAAAGGCGGTGTTAAATCCAGTGATGTCAATTTCTATACGATGGATTTTCCAGGTTCTTTAAATGTATGTTGCGACCATGGGACATTTTTTTCCTCCTGAGCACCTTCTAGTTTGAGTGTTTGTAGGATTACTGTGGGAAATGCTAGTCAACAAAGTCCCTAACAAATGGGCATCTGGAATATACCTGATGAACTGTCGTCCGCCCCCCCACAGTTTGAGTGTGCGCACGGCATGCATCCTCTGCTCGTGTGTCTGTAAACATTGAGTTGAAATGGGCTTTGTGAAAGCCACCTAGGGCTGCCTTTGGAGGAGCCCACAGTAGCCTTTCTTCCATGTAACTCTAAAACCCTCCCCGCCACCTGCAAAAAACCAGAGCTGTCCCCAAGAGCCCTGCCACTTCTTTGTCCCGCAGGCAGCTGGGGCCTGCAGCCTGGCAGCAAGCAGCTGGGCACTAGATGCCGCACCATCGGGCTCTTCTCTTGTAGACAGCAATGAGCTTGCTCCTCCCTCTCCAAAGGCTTCTCTTCTCCAAACCAGCTTCAGTGGCCTGTCCATCCCCAGGAGACACGGTGCGAGTCTTCCTTCTCCCTCACTGCTGTCTCCTGAAACCATACTCATGTTTCCCAAGCTTGGAGAGAGTTGAAAAAGTTCTTTCTTGAAAACAAAGCAACGGTGTCTGGGGGTAGGCCCTTGAACCCATGGCCAGCTAAAGTTTCAAAAACTCTGTTCTTTGCTTCCACACACTCACTAATGTGTTGTAATCAGAAATGAATGAATTCTTGAATATGCTCTGTCTAATTGTAGGTGTAATGAGTCTTTATTTCTTTATTTTTGATTAGACATGTTTTGTTCATTCAACCTGAGGTAGCTTTTAACAGCCTTGTCACGGTATGGGGTCAGAAGTAATTTGCTGTCAGCCCAGTCCTGCCCCCATCTGACCTGGCGCCACTGTCTCTTACTTTACTGCACAGGTAGGGAGCCAAGGAACTGACCTACTGATAGTGTTACTCAACCCCAGCCATGGTGCAGGTTATGTGGACAGTGAACCCCAAACTCAGTTTGTTAAAATGAGAATGGTTTGAATACACCATTAAGATATATACACCGTTGGTACCTAACAACAACAGGAATTTTGACACAATTTCACAGGAAAAAAAATGCATTTAAAAGTTGAGTCATTTAACTATTCCAGTTTGGGGGAGACACCAGTAAATTTACAGCTCCAACTCACAAATGCTTTTATTGTGTCGCCTTTGGTGTTTGTGGATGATTTGTATCAGCTCCTTCAACTTTGGTTAGTAAGCATTGCTCCGAAGTCTTCCATTGTTTGATTCCTTCCTCGCAGTCGTTAACGCCTCCAACATCCCCAGCCTGCCTGGCCAGATTAAGATGCAGTTGCCTTTTTGAATTGCCAGCAAAACCTTAAAACCAGACTCCTGTTCTTCCATAGGGCTCAGGGTTGGTGGTTTCAGGGTCGACTAGAGAAACAAATTCATATACACTCATATGGCTGTAGGAAAGAGCCTTCTGTAAAGAGAAACTGTGCATTAAGAAAACGTGTATACAATGCAAATTTATAACTTTTAGATAATTCTTATTGCTTACATTTTCTAGTGACTTGCCATCTGAATACATTGTGTAGTTATTTCTAGGCATTTGTGTGAAATTTTAAAACCCTGTTGGGTACTAAGATTAGCTTCTGACAGTTCTCCATTTCATATTTCTAAGATAGCTGGTGAACTATTTAATTGAGTAGACATTACTGTATGTTATATTATCATATATTTGGGCGGTTCAAAAAGTTCATGGGAGGGGAAAAAAGAGGAGCTTATACCAAGGGCTCAAGTAGAAAATATTTGGAAATGATGATGGCAACATATCTACAAATCTGCTTGATACAATTGATATTGATATATGGAATGTTATAAGAGCTGTAGGAGCCCCCAATAGAATGAGTTTTTTTTTTAAAGGTAATAGGACAATTCCATTTTCTTTTCATCTTCCCACGAACTTTGTGAAGCTCTTCCCCATATTCATGGGACCCACCATTGCTGTTCTTGTCTCGTTAGTTTGCTTACTCTAATACTGAAGAGAAGGCATTTAGGAAAATCTTAAAACTTTCTTCTAAACTGTACATATTTTAAGTGCAACATTTCTATATCAGTAATTGTGATAAAGCTTACTAAAAATTGATGTGGAATTTCTGCTCTGCCAGTCTCTTTCGGTCTCTTCTTAGCTCTGCCCTCTACCGTGTATTGTAGGCTCTGGTGGCCCTGGGGCGCCGTGGTTTTGCCTTGGACTGCTAGCCACAGGTCTGAAGATCAACACCACCAGCTGCTCTGGGGGTAGAGGACCAGGCTTTCTACTCCCATAAGGAGTTACCGTCTTGGAGACCCTCAGGGGCAGTTGTGCCTGCCCTCCAGGGTCACTGCCAGTCAGAATGGGCTCCATCACAGCGAGAGGGTTTTGATTCGGTTCCTCCTGCTTCCTTCTACCACCGGCCTTTACACAGTCCCCTCTGCCTGCAAGGCTTCTTGCTTCCTATCCCCTTGTAATTGAAATACTCTCCCGCGCTCTCCTAATTGTAAACCATGGCTGTAGGAACCAGTGGACCTGACATTGTTGAGTGCTGAAGAAATCTTGACTGCATAATTGAGTGTCTGTGTTGTTGTTTACTGTGCTTTGATGAGATTTTACTGTAATCAAAAATAATGGAAAAAAATGAGACTTCTGGGAAATGATAGACACCATGCTTTGGGGTTCACACTCTTCTAAACGTATGAACTATTCCTAGCTGACCTTTGTTCCAAAGCCACGTTCTCTCTGTTCTACTCTCACGTCTCTCTATCGTTTTTCAGTTACTCGCCTTGCTTCAGAGTCCACTAGCAATGTCGTCTATAATATGCTATGATTATGCCCTTTTTTTGTCTTAACAGGATATAAATTGGCATTTAATTACTTAAAAGGGAAAAAATATGTGGATGCAATTGATGTATGTCACCAGGTAAACACTTTACATTCAGATTTCTTCAAAATTCAGATACTCAGTTTTCTACCATTGGCTAATCATAAGGTGAACTCTGCCTATAGTAGACATATTATAAATATATTCTTTATCCATAAGCAAACCATGTAGTATTTTGGGTGAATGGCTTAGCAAATGCACCCTGAAGAGATTGCCAGCTTTAAAAGCTTAGAAAATAATAACAGTTTCTTAAAGATGTGTTTTGAAGTAGGGCTCAAACAATATTTCAATGTTCAGTTAATAAAAGAGGCTAGAAAGAGATAGAAGCACCATAAATAAAACTTAATCTTTAAGTCAGAATATATATGAAGATTTTATGTATATATACTTCACATCATCATTCTGAATAGAAGTCCTATGAATATGTTTAAATTTGGTTATTAAAGAATTCAGATTTATGCATTAGAGATTGGTTTAGGCCCGGTTCACTAGAGAAACAAATCCAGTGACACTCATATATGTGTAAGAAAGAGCTTTCTATCAAGAAGTGATTGTATATCAAGCAAACATTCCAGCTCAGTCCAGATTAAGTCCCTAAGTCAAATACCAGTCCAGAGTCCCTCTTCAGACTCACGCAGCCACATGCAATGATACAGACTGCAGGAATAGCACAGGCTGGTGGTGCAGTCAGGTGGATCCACTGGCAGTGGCCACATCACAAGGCTTGCAGCAACTAGGGTCCACCAGCAGGATGGTGAAGGCAAAGAGAGCGGGGGTAGGTTCCCAGGACCTGCATTATGAATGGACCACTCCCACATCAGGCTGTGACCTTATTGACAGGCTAGAATCCATCCCTACAACTTCTGTAGATCAAGTTGACATGAAATTACTTCTGTAATTTAAAAGTCATTGTACCATATTTCTTGACCCCTTTCTAGAATGGCAAATATTTAAGTTACAGTTTTAGAAAGTTCAGAATTTATATGTGTATTATGTCATTGATATGATATTATACTAAGCATTATGAAGAGCCCCAAGAATATATGAAAGAATTATGTAATATTCCTTATCCCAGTTATAGTGGGATCATTATAAGTACCATCTTAGTGCATTTTTATCCGAATGATTGCTATTGATTATTATAAAGCTGATTTTCTCACTATGTTAACCAAAACCTCACTACTGCCAAGTCATTTCTGACTCACAGCAACCTTGTAGGGCAGGATAGATACCCCTGTCAGTTTCTGAGACAGTAACTCTTTATGGGAATAGAAATCCTCCTCTTTCTCCCTCGATGGTGCTGGTGGATTCAAACTGCTGGCCTTGTGGTTAGCAGCCCAACTCGTAACCACTGCACTTCCAGGGCTTGGTCACACAGTAATGTAAGGTTATATATCAGAATCATTTGTGGAGGTTTTTTTGTTTTGTGTTGTTGTTTTCATTCACATCTTCCCACTCCCTAGTTTGAGTAGACCTAGAAATGTATCAGAATTGCTACAGGTAAATTTGATATGTGCTGCTGGCTAAAAAAAAAATCACTCTATTCCTGGTGATACTGTCAGCTTTGCACTGCTGACCACAGGCTGGCAGTTCAAACCTCACAGCTCCTCCGCCAGTGAAAAATGAGGCTGTCTGCTCTCACCAAGATGTACACAGTCTCAGAAGCGCTATATAGCAGTGGTTCTCAACCTTCCTAATGCCGCAACCCTTTAATACAGCTCCTCATGATGTGGTGACCCCCAACCACAAAATTATTTTCATTGCTACTTCATAGCTGTAATTTTGCTACTGTTATGAATCGGGCAACCCCTGTGAAAGGGTCATTCGACCCCCAAAGGGGTCGCAATCCATAGGTTGAGAACCGCTGCTATATAGGGTCACAGTGAGTTGGAATCAAGTTGATGGTAATAGGTTTGGGTAGGGTTTATTAAATGTAATTCATAAATAAATGATAATATTTCTAATACAGTAATTAGAAATTATTAAAATATTTTAAATTGATACATAAATATGGCAGTTTTTAGAAGCTGCCATATTAAGAAGGTAATCTATATGTTGAATTCTGCACATATAGTATTCTATAATGTCTAATTATTAGTATTATACAGGCAGTCTGCAAGTTATAAAAGCGTTCTCTTTCTGAATCTGTAAGATAAATTTATGTTTTAATTGAAAGAGTTTGTATCAAACATCATTTAGTCAAATGTTTGACTTAGTAAAGTGTGTAGGAACACTTTCAGACATGCTAAAGCATCTTAACATAATAGAGTAACGATAATACTTTGCTGCACAAGAAGTAGCAACTGTGTGTTATTATGCACCGTTATATGACTCTGACATTTTAATAAAATAAGGTTTATGGGGTTGGTTCAAGGGCCTGGTCCCCTAGGGGTTATGCTCTAGGCTGCAGTCCGCAAGGTCAGCAGTTTGAAGTCACCCTCAGTTCCAAGGGAGAAAGACAAGGCTTTCCACTCCAAACCGTGACCGCCTCAGAAACCCCCAGGGGCAGTGCTGCGCTGTCCTGCCGGGTCACTGTGAGTGGCTGTGAGTTTGCTTATTTTGCCTGTTTATTTGTTTTCATGGGGGTTCACTGGAACTCTGCATGAGTGAGACGTGTGTAACCCAACGGCCACCAATAAAGATTCAGTTCATAACTCCTCTCACCTTTAAAATGTATTGTTGCAATTTTCATATAATGAAATCTCTGGGCTTGAATGTTGATCGTTAATTCCAAGTTGCTTTTCCACTTTGTTGTTTTGTTTTAATTTTGCAGGTTCTTGAAACCCATCCAACTTATCCAAAAATCAGGAAGGATATACTTGATAAGGCCCGTGCATCTCTAAGACCATGAATATGATCGTAACTAATTGGTTGGTTAAACAAAATGAAAGGAATCAGGATTTCAGCTCCTCCAGTTCAAAAGAGATTTGCGGGAGGGCATTGTGATAAGAGCAGACTTTTCTTTCCCCAGCAGAGGGTGCTGCTGTATCAAATGGATGCTTCCTAATAGAGCAAGCAGTTGAAGAGGGCTGGTCTACTTAATGGACTCTTGATTCGTCACAGATTTGACATCGCCAACATAAAGATTATAACCTGTTTGGAAAAGAATGTTTTGTTAAAAATCTCGTTAATTAAGTATGGTCCCATATCATTTTTATGCAATATTAGTTGTGTATAGTGTTATTGCTACGTTAAGAAACTTTGGAATGTTTCATTCTTATTTCTAAGATTTGAGCACATCTCGTAATAATTTGTGAAAAGGGAAATATGTATATTTTAATAAAGATTCATGAATTTGTGGCCTGGACGCTTTCTCTTAGAATGCAAAAGACATGGTTTTGCAAAATCTGCGTAAACCACCTATGCAGTAATGTGACGTTTTACAATGTGACTTTCTTAGGGGGCAAAAAAAAAATTTTAAGAATATTTTAGACTGTCTACTTCCCTTATCTTTGTAGATCTCCTCCTCCTTGCTCTTTTTTCTGTGTTTTTTTTTAAATCATTTTATTGGAGGCTTGTATAGCTCTTATCACAATCCACACGTACATCCACTTTATCAAGCACATTTGTGCATTTGTTGCCATCATAATTTTCAAAACACTTAATTTCTACTTGAGTCCTTGGTATCGACTCCTCATTCCCCCCGCCCCCGTGAACCCTTGATATTTGATAAATTATTATTTTTTCATGTCTTACACTGACCGATGTCTCCCTTCACTTACTTTTCTATTGCTCATCCCCCCAGGAGGGATTATATGTAGATCATTGTGATCAGTTCCCCCTTTCTCCTCCCACCTTTCCCTTACCCTCCTGATATCGCTACTCTCGTTATTGGTTCGGGGGGGGTATCTGTCCTGGGTTCCCTATCTTTCCAGCTCTTATCTGTACCCATGTACCTGCTCTGGTAGCCAGATTTGGAAGGTAGAATTGGGGTCATGATAGTGGGAGGAGGAAATATTAAAGAATGAGGGGAAAGTTGTATGTTTCATCAGTGCTATCCTGCACCCTGACTGGCTCGTCTCTTTCTTGTGACCCTTCTGTCAGGGGATGTCCAATTGTCTACAGATGGGGTTTGGGTCTCCACTCTGCACTCCCCCCGCCTTACATTGATAGGATTTTTTGTTCTGGGTCTTTGATGCCTGGTACCTGATCCCATCGACACTGCCCTTCTTGCTCTTAATGCCAATATGGTCTTCAGAAGTAATCACGACCTGAAGTCAGCTGGAAGAAGGGAATGCGTGTTGCACTGTTTCCTCTTCCCCGCGAGACTGGTCTGCTGGTGTCCTCACAGCCGCTTCCACCTCTATAGAAGGACAAGGCTGTCCTTGGCTTCTCTCACTGGGGGAAGCACTGCTTCCGCTATCAGCGCCCCACCCTCCCCACCCCCCAGCCCTCTTAGTCTCTGCTGCTCCCCCCTCCCCCCCTGGCCAGCACAGCTTTCACCCCTTACACCAAATTTAACTGGTTTTCACTTGTAACCTACATCTTTTCAGTTGTCAAAAAAAACATCCAAGAACAGAGTCCAATTTTATTTGCAGTTAAGAAAAGATGTCTTTTTAAAAAGCCATATGCTGCTTTTTAAAATTGTCCCAGGTTTATTTCTTTGGTACTACATTCTCTTTCTTTTTAATCACTTCTTGGATTTTCCAAAGTCCTTTTCATTCCAACTGAATGTTAGTTTTAATCCTCTTCATTTTTCACCTACCTTTTATCCAAGGCACCTCATAGAAATGTTTAATAACATTTTAGGACCATTTTAGACCTGCTGAAACACTTTCCCAGCTCTTTCTATATTTGATCCATGTCCCCCTATAATATTGGTATCATTAACCCTATTTTCCAGATGGGAGCAGTGGCAAGTGGTCTCTGTCTTTTGACTCAAGGAAGAAAAGCCACTCCGTCTGAATGGATGTGGGAAAGGGCTCCTCTTGGTAGTGACAATGCCATTAGGAGTCCACGTGAGCTTGTGTCACAGGGTGTTAGAATCAGGGAAATTGGATAGAAAAAGATGATCTGTTCTCCCCAGACGAAATTTCCGAATCAGTTTTCCTATCTGCAGAATAAGTGTTTTGCTTTTGACACAAAAGCAACTGTTTACTTTGCACTCACCATGGGTTAGATACTATAATTCTGGGTGGCTTTTCTTAAATTATGTCTTAATCATTTCCATCCAACTCTCCAGATCAATACATTTTCAGAGAAGGAAAATGAGATTCAGGCTTACTGATTGGCCAAGGTCACAAATCCGGGAGGCCCGGTGATGTAGTGGTGGCATGTTGGGCCCTGATCCACGTGGTGGGCAGTTTGAAACCACCAGCAGCTCCTCAGGAGAAAGCCGGCTTTCTGCTCCCGTCAGCAGTACTAGTCTCAGAAACCCCCCGGGGCTGGTTGTGAGTCAGCACCGACTCGATGGCAGTGAGATTTTGAGAAGGCCCCATAGTGAGTGTCAGGACATTGGGTCCACACTGGCCTGATGACTCCACAGCCTCTGTCCTGTTTCCTGTACTGACGCCTTCTAGAAGTCACATCTCTGGATAAAAAGCACCTGTCTGTCTGCATAGGAAGCGAGTAATCTTGCCTGACATTCTGTAACAGACCCGAGTGCTGAAAAACAAGAACTGAGTGGACTGAGCAGTTCCAAGATGCACAAGCCACCCGAGACGTCTACGGGACGGACAGTGCTGTGGAGCAGGTAGGAATATCAAGTTGAATTTTGCTCTCCCACTCACTAAATGATCTTGGTAAAATTAGGAATGATCTCTTGAGTTTGTTTCCTCGTCCATAAGGAAGCATAGGAGGGTAATACCTGCCTCGGGTGATGGTAGGGATTCAAAGAGAACAGCTGTAAAAGCCATCATGATCCTGACTCAGACCCTTAAAAAGTGGCCGCTCTACTTGTTCAGTACACGTGGAACAATGCCAGTGGTCATTGCAACTGAGGACAGCAGAAAACAGGCAAGAGCGCAGGGAGAGGAAAAGGGATGAGTAACTTACCCGAGAGATTTCTCATTCTCCATCTTCCCTCCACTAAACCCCAGCCACGAAGCCAGTCTGATTTTGACCATCGTGGACACTCTTTTGGCCTTGCCTTTTCTGTCATCATCCCACCCACCACCCGCCCTGACCCCAAACTGGATTCTGGAATTCTCTCCCTTTCGGTTGCTCCTGCCACCCCTGCTTCCTACCTCCAATCTTCTTTCTTTTTCTAAGCTTGTTCTTTGCGTGCATTCAGGTTTCAGTTTATTTTTGACTCCCTTGAGGCCATTGTCAGGCCTGTAACCCAAAGCAGCCAGTCTGCCAGTCTGTGTTGTTGGGTGGCAGTTACTCTCCGTGCTTCTTGTTCACTCGTTTATTTGTTTCTGCCTCACATCAGACAGCAAGTGCACTGACAGTGGGAACTGCTGTCTTCTCCACACCTAGCAGAGTGCCTGGCATAGAAAACACCTGCTCGTTGTTGACTCAGTCGGTGACCCTTCTCATGAGCTCTGCCATTGGGATCCTCACCGTCTAGAGGTAGGAATGTAGGAACTAAGGACTAGTTAAAGTGATAGCCCAGGTCACACCCAGCTGGGAAGGCTGGAAGCCAAGCTGCACCTAACCACCACGTGAAGAAACCATTGCCCACGACATGTGACATGAAAGCTTGAAGTCTGGGCTCAGAATGAAGTGGGAGGGTACACAACAGGAATGAAAATTTTTTTTTTTTGCAAACCTAAGCCCTAGATGGCTTCCCTTACAATTACAAGAGACAGTTGGAAATTTAATGTACTTTTGCCCATAAGCTAGCTAGGTTGTGAACTGGGTCTTCAGAGGAAACGGCCTTATTTCCCAGGGATCAAGAAGCTAGAGCCGTTCTTAAGGGTTTTCTGCCCAGACAGCTGAGGAAGTGAGGGGAGCTTGAGGGTGAAAGGAGCAAATAAACCCGAAGCGTCATTGAGAATCCGACAGGAGCTAGCCCATTTCAGAACTAGAGAGGACCGTTGAATCGCTGCAAAACAGGATAGTGGGATGACGGCACTGGTGCTGCCACACTTTTTTTTTAATAAGTTGGCAATGGCGCGTGGAAACCCCCAGATTGATACAGTCCACATAGACATGCCGTGCAGCCTTTCTGAAGGGCAGCTTGGGAGGACAAATCCAGACCCTTACAAACATGCATGGCCTCTGACTCAGTAATCTTACTTAGAAAACATTGCCATGAGAAAATTCAGGAACGTTTCGAAAATTTCGCAGTTTAAAAAGATACAGTACCAGAAACAGGAACAACATGCACATCAACAGAAAGGTGCTGTCAAATATGTTCAAGTGTATCCCAAGTGGAGCCTGTGGAGTCACTGAGGAGGCCTGGCGGCGGCATTGTTACCACCAGGCTGCTCACCAGGAGGCCAGCAGTTCTGAGCCCCTAGCCCAGCGGTTCTCCCCCTGGGGGTGACAACCCCTCTGGAGGTCAGACGACCCTTTCACAGGGTCGCCCGATTCATAACTATCAAAATGATAGTGATGAAGTAGCAACAAAAGTAATGTTAGTTGGGGAGGGGGGCTCACCACCACATGAGGAACTGTATGAAAGGGTCGCAGCATTAGGAAGGTTGAGAACCACTGCACTAGCTGTTCTGTGAGACAAAGATAGGCCTTTTGACACCCCCCACCCGCCGTGAAGAGTTACAGCCGCAGCAGGTCTGCCCCGCCCTCTGTCACCGATAAGTCTGCATCCAGTCAGTCAACGGCAGTGAGTTGGGTTTGGGTTTGGTGTAGTCATCAAATACTCTTATTTTCGAGGCTCTTTTAAAAACCCCTTTCACTGATAATTGTTAAAAATCCTCATAAAATAATGAGCAAAAACGCAGGAAGCATAGCTATTCATGTAATACCTCAATTAAAAATATATCTTTTAAGTATATGCCTAGATATGGATACATACACAACTAGAAGAAAATGAAACCAAAATGTTAACAGTAGTTATAGCTGGTGAAATATCAGGGAATTTTTCTTTCCCATTTGGTAGTTGACTGCACAGAACACATTCCACCTTAGGGAAAATACATATGTGTTTAGAGTAAACCTTTCCAAAGTTACTTTTTGCTAACTGTTCATGGCTGATTTGCAAAGAATAAAAATACACATAAGAGTTGTTGGGGTTTTTGTTTTCTTTGGTTTTTTTTCAAGTCTCACATTTTATTGCTCATTGTTTACACAAATTAAGGTGGTTGACTTCAGTTTCTGGAACAGGGTCAGGAAGTGGACGATGAGTGAAAGAAAGATTGCCCGTGAAACTGGCAGTAGTAACGGAATCAAGGC